AGCTGCAGGCGGGAAGCCCATTGAAAGCAATTGGGGGCTGACAGCTTTTTAGCCAATCACACGTAATCGCTCATGCAGCGAATACCTGCACATGATGGACCCTGGACACAGACCATCTATGAGCAGGACCAATCATTCGCAAGTATTTGCTACAAGGGACATTCAAGTCAAACTGGGGGTTTTAATTTTACAGGTATAAAAAGGGATACTTGCGTGGCGGTACTACATGCAGTATTAAGTGGAAAGTGTGTCCTATAACTGATAGGTGATGCACGTCGCAGGCCAGTCCAGAGATCGTTAATCAAGATGGCAGACAACAGTGTTAATGCGTGCATGGAACACCGTGTGGTGATGAAGTTTCTTGTGAACGAACCCGCGGATGTCTACAGAAGACTTCAAGCACAGTACAGTGAAGAGATGCTGAGCCACAGTAAGACATTTAAACGTTTCAAAGATCGCCGTATGTCCGTCAATGACATCCTTGGCGGTGGTGGCTTCCAGTCTACAGCAGTCATTCCTGGAACGCATGATCCTGGTTAAATCGACGCAAATCCTGTCATGAAATTTCACAAGAGACTAATCTTTCTTTGGGAGCGGTGAACACAATCAGTCGTGAACATTTGCATTTTCAAAAAGTTAACACAACCCAGGTACTAAAACAGCTTTCCAATTTTGACCGGCACAGAGGAGTGCAGCATACGCATCTGCGAAAAAAATGGCCTGGCTTGAATATTTCGTCATGGTTCGAATTCCGAACGAATTTCGTCTGAAAATCGGAGACGTCGTTCGCTGGTCAGGGGCGGACTGACCATTTGGAAACTCGGGCACTGCCCGAGGGCCCGGGGTCAGTAGGGGGCCCCATGAGATGCCCTCTGGTACCTTTTTCATAGGCTTTTTTGAGTTTGGGCAAGCACACAGGGGCCCCATGATCCCCTATTGCCTGGGGGCCCCATGATTGTCAGTCCGCCCCTGCTCAGTAATCCGATGGTGCCATCAATGATTTAGCTCAAAATGTTCACCCCATATAACAGGCGAAACTTCTGTACCTTCCAGGTCACGGCTCATGTGCATATTCTTTGCGGAAAAATTATTGTACAATTTGACCATCATGGAGTTGAAAAATCGGTCGTTTTTTCATGAATTTTCCAACATGCCCGCTCACCAAAAAGGGGAGGAACCACGAAAATCGGCCAGTGCCATTGATCCACTAACAGAGCGAAAAAGCAGAGAGGGAATGTAAGTAGTGTATGCCCCATGTACTTCAATGAAGTTTATTGGGGGTGTACGTAACACGCCTAAGTGTACACAAGTGGTTAGGATCTGTGATCATTTTCCCCCAACTGGAGTTTTAATAAAACTAGCTAAAAGATTTGCAAAGTCTTTGTAAAAACAAGTTAAAGCCTTTGTGTATGAGGTTTCTGTAGTATTGTATTTACTAAAAATGCAGAATTCATAATTTATCACAATGTACAGCTTTCCTGTCCTGCCAGGCTACATGCTCAGATACTGTAAGGGTCTCGTATGGATTTGGGGGGGGGATGCCACGCAATTTTTTTAAAAAATGTTGGCGTGAGGTTCCCCTTTAAATCCATACCAGACCAGAAGGGCCTGGTATGGATTGGAAGGGGACCCTCATGCTGTTTTCTATTTAGTTGAAAATAACTTATTTCCGATTGCCCATATACATTGTTTACATTGAGAAAAGCATCAAACGATACAGAAGCATCCTCATCAAAACCCCAACTGGTGGGAGCCAGACACTACACCTATATATGTGATCCAACGTGAAGACTCTCATAAATATAGAGTTAGGACCACAGTATACAGAGGAGCCTTAATGTGGGCACTGCAGCTCCATATATATTTGCAAATGTGTGCAACGAAACCCTTTAACATGAATAGTTAGGGTCAATTTGGTTTGTTTTCAGGTTAGCTGGTAAGTGTGCTGGGAAGTTTTTGTTTGTTTGTGATGTGTGTTGCCCTTCCATGTGGATCTTACTGCAAAAGCCATCTTTTTGTTTGTGGATTTGGTGTAGAGACACCTTGAATGCCTTCAGCTACTATTGTGCTCTTGCTGGGCATCCAATGTGCCCCTGTGCCTTTAAGGAGGAGTGGGCTCTCTTCAGGCAAACCTGCTCTTAATTTATCAATTGCTATATATGCTTTAATTTGGAGGCTCTCAAAAATAGAAAGTTAGGACCGCAGTATAAATAAGACCCTTGGCGAGCGCTGCGACTTTCACATTTATTTGCAAATGTGTGCAACAAAACCCTCTGTTTTAACTGGTACCCACCCAACCATCAATCTCCCAATGGCCAGGTGGGAACCAGTTAAAAACATGATGTCCTCCTGACCCCCGGGGGGTGTGCAACCTGTGACCTTGGCTCTTTACCAGCTGATCACATGTAGACAAGTACCAGTTATCAGCATTTTCTTTCCTCAGCGCTGTCACAGTGCTGAGGAAAGGAAAGCCGACAACTGGCTTTCCTGTGACAGGGGACGTTTACACTGATAATCAGGGCACTGATCATCAGCTCCTTGATGATCAGTGCAGCCCCATCAGTGCCAATCCATGTCCATCAGTGCAGCATGTCAGTGCCGCCTTATTAGCACACATCAGTAAAGAAGAAAATCTGATTTTCAAATTTTTCGAAGAAAAAAAAATGTTTTTTTTTCCCAAATTTCTTGGTTTAGCAAAAAATTAAACACCCAGTGGCAATTAAATACCACTAAAAGAAAGCTCTATCTCAAAAAAATGCTAAAAATTTCATTTGGGTACAGTGTTGTATGTCCACTCAATTTTCGTTTAAAGTGTGACAGCGCTTAACCTCCCTGGCGGTATGATTATTTCAGATTTTTGGTGCTGAAAAAGGTACCATTTTTTTGCATGGAAATATGTAATTGTAGGCTGTAATTTTTAGGAAAAACTCACTGAAATCTGTCCGAACAAGAGTCTAGTAAACATCCCGGGTATGATAAAATTTGAAACACAAAATCATAAATTATAATTTAAATAAATAATCATAAAAATAATATAAAAATAATAAAAAATTTAATTCAATAATATAATCAAACCAAAAACACTGAAATGTGAAATATAGCGCCAAGTTCGCACATCTCTGAGCAAAGTTGCAAAATCGTTTTCAGTGTCTGATGACGAATTTCCCCCACGAATCATTATCACTCAATTCTGCAAGTGGTTCTGATTTACTATCGCTGTTCTCTAGCTGATCTAAACCGCTTTTGACCTAAAGGGACACTTTTTTTGGACGCCATGGACATTTCTCAGTTTCCAGGCAGAAAGAACAGACAAAATGCAGGCAGGGCACAGGACAAAGCACTAGGGACAATATGTATGTGAAATTGGTTGAAACAGCAATGTTTTACTATGAAAAATGTAAAAAAAAAAAATGACATTTTTTAAAATTTTTAAATTTCCCGCCGCCGCCGGCGGCGGCGCCCGTACGTCCCGACGTCACAGGGACAGGACACAGAAGCCGGATGCCGGCATCGGCCGGAGGAGATGGCCGGGGACGCTGCAGGGGACACATCGTGGGAGCGCAGGGTAAGTTAAGTGAAGACAACATGCCGGAGCAGTGCCGCAGGGTAAGCCCGAGTGTAGCTCGGGGTTACCGCTTTTGGTACTGAAATGTTACCCCGAGCTACACTCGGGAATACCGTCAAGGAGGTTAAAGCAGAAAATTGGCCTGGACAGGAAAGGGGTGAAAATGCTCGATATAGAAGTAGTTAACATGAATAGATAAACAAGGTCAATTTGGTTTGTTTGTAAACTAGCTGGTCATTATGCTGGAAAATGTTTGTAGATTTGTAAAACTACACCTTCTTGCAGAACTATATAGGAGAAGGAGTTGGGCACCTCTTTCATACCGCAACAGGCTTACCAGGTTATGATCCATGTAGACCTCAGTCTTCAAAAGGATCCAAATGGCCATCTACAAATTGATGTCCAGAATCTACCCTCACCTCTACCCATGTGTTGGGGATGCGAATCTCAGAAAGGAACCCTTCGACATATCTTCTGGAGTTGCCATAACCTTTAAGAGTTTTTGAAATTGGTGGGACAAATTAACTTTGCATCATACACAAACCTTGGGGATGACCCCTCAGCATATTTACTGCATAACATCTCTTTCTCTAGTAACCTATAACTAAAGGCAAACCTTTTTTTTTTAGTTTTGGAGTGGAGAGGGATCAGAAAACCTGTCAGGTCTTTATTACGGTCTGTGTCCCTGTTAGCGGAATTCACCCTCTCCACTTGCCCGAGACGAAAAGAAAATCCCAAATTTTGGGTTGTCACTAGACAGGAACATAGGGGAAATCTTCCAATGGTGACAACCAGGAATTCCCTCACTTTGGAGGAAATTCCCCATTTTAGCTATGGGACAGGAGGTGAAGGGAAATCTTAATACCAATCACCCGACTCGCCTTCAGGAACCACCTACCTCAAAACAGCCACTGTATGGGATTTCCTCACGTGGAGGACATCGGATAACTAAGCACACATACAAAAAGAGAATAAACAGATATAAATAACACAGTTTATTTGTACATAATATTTACCAAGCATCCTGTGCCCTGTTCAATACGCCATTCTATTACGTTTCTCATCCCTGAGGTATATTAGACAAATTCTCTAAGCACACACTCCAGTATCAGCATAAAGTGCACCTGTCACCTGCTCACACTGCCAGCGGCCATTTTTTTAGCTGACAAAAGGGAGCAGTTTTGCAACCATTAAGTCATTTTAGGTCTCTTGCCTCAGTGATGTCACTCGTTCCAAGGGGACTGTGTGGTTTAGTCCATGTGCAAGCTTATTCAATAAGGCAAGGAGATTTGCAACAACACATACAGCAATAATGATGTGCAGTAACCCAAACAACCAGATCTGTGATTACAGCAAACTGACGATGGTTAGAGGCTCCTACACTGAATATGCCAGACACTGCCCATTATTTCCAGGAGGAGGGAACAGGTCCACTTTAAAGGAACATCTTCCCCAAGGCCTTGCTTATTTGCGCCTGCGCAATCTTCTCCTTCTCCCGAACGCTCACCAGCTCCCTCTTCGCTTCCTTGTTCCCTGGGTCCAATTTCAGCAGTTTTTCTAAGTCGCCCCTTGCCCCCTCCCAGTCTGACATGCCCGCCCTGGCTATGCCCCTCCGGTACAGAGCTTTGAGGTGGTTGGGATCCAAATCCAGAATTCTGGTGCATCTCACCTCCGCTTCTCGAAAACGTCTCTTCTTGAGGTCACAAGCAGCCAAGTTGGACAGAAGTGCCACCTTTTCCTCTTCAGCTTCACTGGGGGTGCACACCAAGTGTCTGAGCCCCCGGGTATATCGCCTCTCAGCCCCCTCGATGTTACCATCTCTGAAGGCCATGCCGCCCTTTTCCCGGTCCTTTTTCGCTCTTTGGATCTTCTCGCTTGGCTCCAGTTCCCAAGCTTCTGTGCCCTTTTCAAAGCTTTTCAGCCGCAAGACAAGCTGGAATCCTAGTGGGCTGTCCACCTGACAGACCTCCCCTTGAAGCATGGACTCTAGACATTGGTCAACTAGGCGGTCCTGTGCTGTGTCCCCCTCTCCGAGTTCCACCTCAACCCAGCTTCCAGCAGGATAACCAGGACCGGATGAGGAGCAGAGCTGAGGCGGGGGGTCAGCGAGATGCTCCAAAAATATCATGCACACACCTCGCTCTTTGGGCTTGTCCACTCCGGATCCTGGCTCAAGAATTGTTTTGGTGAAGCTTCCATCTGGGCAGCGCCATGTTGTACAGCCTAGTGAGACCTGCGGACTCTCCATTGCTGGTTAGGGCTCCAAATGAAAGCAAGCCAGTTTTTCTGCACAAAAAAAAAAAAAAAAATACAGATAAATTGTAATTTGATTATTCACTAAAATACATCACCCTTTCCTCCTCCTTCCTCTGTACAATCCTGCTTCTCTGGGTTCTGGACATCAAGTAACCATTACATACAATGTGGCTTCATCCAATAGTAACAACTCCCTACTATCTGCATAATGCATTGATTAGAAACATGCTGCCAAAGTGGTTGTAAAGGCTGAAGGTTTTTAATGTTTATTCATTCTACGCAAGAGGGTAAAAAATCTTCTGTGTGCTGCATCCCCCTTAGCCACCCTAATACTTCCCTTAGCTCTCTTGATCCAGAGATGTGCATGGGAGCCTTGGCTGTCCCAGGTTAATCTCTCCTCATTGGCTGAGACACAGAAGCGCTAGGCAATGGCTCCCACTGTTGTCAATCACAGCCTGTAAGGGGACAGCGAGGGGTGGGCCCGAGCCGTGGCTCTATGTGTCTTATAAACTTGCACCATTGCCTAGTGCTTGATTCATTCAAAGCCAGGGAATAGATGTATGTAGACATCAACAAAGTGTAGGCAGTGGTGCCGGTGCAGAAAGACCTCAGCCTTCAGTCCTGAATGAATGACTGACTGCTCATGGTACACATCTCAGCTCTATACAGACATACACATATATGACCTCATGAGCCAAGATGCACTTTTTAGGCCTTGTTCATGCCGGTGTACTACAGCACCACATAGAATGTCTATGGGAGGGAGAGCACTGTGAGACCGAGGCAAATCCATACTTTGATCTCACATGCAAACAGTGAAACCAGAAGAGATGTCCTTTCTGGTTTCAGATGCACCCTTTCCTGGCCAGTACAGCTGGGGGGCACATCTAACCAAGGCAATCTGTGGTTGGTTAGATACTGTGAAGGGCAGGGGAGACATCTATGTCTATTAGACCCCTATGGTGATTTTTGGGGATATCGCAGGTGCATGCAATTTTAATACATGGACGGTTTGGTATCTATTTACTCGATGCAACCTCATCTTTATATTTTAACCAAAAATTGGGTTTTCTATTGTGTGTTTTTGCACTAAAATAAATTTTATGATAATGTTTCCTGACAATTTGCATGTAATTAGCAGTTACACAAAAAACACGACATAAAAATGTGCAAATATCATCTTTTATTCTACATGGCCTCTGCTTTCAGAAAATATGTAATGTTCTGGGGGTTTAAGTAAACTTTTTGGCAAATAAAAATGGAGATTTTTACATTTATGCAAAAAAAGTTAAAAAAATTGCTCTGGAGCCAAACTGGTCGCTGCTGTGCTCAGGCAGCATTAAGGGCTCGTTCACACTAGGCTGTTTTGCCAACGCTTGCCAAACGCCCCTATAGCGTTTGGCAAGCGTTGGTCCGGCGTTTGCGGAGCGTTATTAACGCTCGGCCAACGCTCCACAAACGCCGCATGCGCGGTTTAGCGGCCGTTGCTAGGCATTTGCCGAGCGTTAATAACGCCCCACAAACGCCTATAATGCAGTTTGAGTGGTGTTACCGCTCCACAAAAAACCGCGTCACAACCGCACCGCAAACGCCGGCCGGGCGTTTGCGGAGCGGCACCATAGACGAGAATAGGAGGCTTCAAAGTCTCCTGACTCGTCCAGAGGCGTCTGAGCCGCGACGCAAACGCTCCCGTTAGAACAGCACCATGTGCTGTAATGTGCAGAATTGGCAGAGGCGCTAGGGAAGCGGTAAAAACGCTTCCCAAACGCCTCTCTGCCGCCTGCACACAACGCTAGTGTGAACGTAGCCTAAGACCCATAAATTATTATAGGCTTACAGCACTGAGAAAGTGGTCTCACTCAATCATCAGCAGGAAAATGGCTATAGGAGCTAAGGTTTTGAGTGAAAGAGACTATATGGGACTGTTTTTCTTTTGATTTTATTTAATTTATATATGATGAATGATTTAGCACTATATTGATTGCATATTTGTACCTAGTTTTGACACGTACCCACTCCCACTTCCACCTGGATCGCCTAGGCAATCCAAGCGGAAGTTTTCTTCTCCCTCTCTGCACAGTGGCTAAATGTTTAGCACTTCAGGTGGCAGTACTAGGGTTGTTGGTTCGCATCCCAACCACGGCACCCCCTCCTGGGAGTTTGCATGTTCTCCCTGTGACTGTGTGGGTTTCCTCCACGCACTCCGGGTTCCTCCCACACGCCAAAGACATGCTGGTAGTTTAATTGACTCCTGTCTAAATTGGCCCTAGTATGTGTATGTATGAATGTAAGTTAGGGACCTAATATTGTATGCTCCTTGAGGGGTAGGGAGTGATGTGAATAGAAGTACCCAAAATAAACCTGTTGCTTATTCCTGCACCCCAAATAAGAAGGTGATGGGTAACTCAGCAAGTTGTCCCTATAGCAAAAGCATCAGCTTTGGATGGAGTGACCCATAAAGCATCATGCAACTGCAGGGGCAAATTAAAAAAAAAAAAAACGCACATCAAGTATGGAAAATGACACATTGTGCTCAGAATGCATTGCATGTGAACAGATCCTGCAGTAAATCAGGGAACACAACATGCTGACACGGTTGCAAAAAAAAAAAAAAAAAAAAAAAAAAAAAAAAAAAAAAACACATTCTGTGCATTATATCCATCTTCATGGTTACCAGGGATGCAATGCCCTCCATGCAAGTGCATGCTGGGAATTGTAGTTTCCAGATTCAGGATGATACATCTAGCAGAAACACAGTGCCATGCATGCCTTACACAGACCATCAGGACAGACCACGAGACACAGACACTGATCCATGCTAAATACCAGATTCTCTGCACAGCTTACTGACTCATGATCCTGCAGCTACAAAGCTGCCATTACCAGCCACTGCACTACACAGACATGCGCACATCAACAGGCAAGACCAAATGCATGCTGGGTATTGTAGTTTCCTGGCAGAACCATGCAGGACTACAGTGCTCAGCATGCTCCCCACATTGCAGACGCACAGATGGGTCAGGGGGGAGAGTTACAAAGCAGGGCATGCTGGGAACTGTAGTTCTGTGGCAGCAGCTACAGGTGCAGAACTACAGAGCTCAACATGGCATGCCATGGCAGAGACCAGGGAGAAGGATGACAGCTCTGCTCACCTTGCTGCTGGCTGGGCTGTGACTCCCCTAGGAAGTGCAGACAGATGAGTAGGGGAGGGAGCCTCACTTCCCATCATGCTGTGGGGCCCCCTCCCTCCTGCACTGCAGACTTGTGTAATAAGAAGTAGCTGGGTGTGGTGAAAACAATTGCCAGGGACAGTGATCAGTGCAGAGGGAGGGAGACTGGTGTCAGGGACAGTGATCAGTGCAGAGGAAGGACACTGGTGTCAGGACAGTGATCAGTGCAGAGGAAGGACACTGGTGTCAGAGACAGTGATCAGTGCAGAGGAGGGACACTGACCGGTGTCAGGGACAACATACAGGATGGTTTGATTGATCATTAATGGTAAGTAGCCCCTGGATGGTTATATACCCTGCATGATACAGTGCTACATATTAACCCTTTCAGCTTTAATATTCCTCCTATGGACCAGAGCCACTGCTAGATCTCCACTGGATGTTGTTACTTATTGTTGCTTATTGTTAAATACTTGTTTTGTGGTTTTGTTACATGTTGTTTCTTTATTGTAAAATCCTGTTACATGTTTTTACTTGTGCTGGTCATACAGTATAAAAAGCGTTCAGACTCATTTTCGAATAATGAACATTAAGTCATGAGAGCAAACGATACTGTCATCATGTTATGATGACCGAATTTTGAACGAAAAATCAGTTGGTGGACATAAGGCTCCATGTACACGGGACACGTCTGGACGATGGAAACTGACTGCTGGAAAACGTAGGTTAGCCCCAGTTCACATATATGCGTTCCTGCGGGCCGCGTTCTGTTGAATGGACTCCTGTGCCCGTGACACGCAGGGAAGAAGTCCCTGCACTTCTCCCAAAAACGCAGCTCGCACAGGAACCTCGGTTCCCAGTACAGTTGCGTTTTCTAGTGCGGGCGGCGTGCCATTAGAACTAATGGCACCTGCTCGCGGGTCTGCATTTCTCTGCGGGTGGTGCGGCTGCACAGATTTTCATTCGGATCCACAATAGCACCACCCGCACAGATGTGAGCCTAGCCTTAAAAAACGTCTGTTTAGCTGCGTTTGCATACCGTGTTTATGAGCATTTGCGTTAAGAAGCGTTTTTTAAAGATAACCTCAGGAGACCTTCCAAAATGCACTGAGAAACAGTAAAAAATTTACTATTTCAGACATTTTGAGAGAAATACAGAGAGTAGAAGCAGAGAGCAGTATTTGTTGAGATTAGCTGTCTGTTTTTTTTTTGTGGTGTTTGGATGTGTTCCAGCTCATTTCTGTGCAGAAATGATTGCAGCAGTGTCTAACATATTTTCTTTCATGCAAAACCTCAAAGTATGGTGTACCAGGTCCATTCGAGTACTGGGAAACGCTTGGCATGCATTTTTCATTTTTGGACAGCATCTGGAAATGGAAGAGTTAAAAACATTTTCCAAATGCTTATAAACGTGGTTAGCCGCGTTTACAAGCGTTTGACATTTGAAACACTGATAAAATCTACTCCTGAACGCAAGTTTGGTGCGTTCAAAAAAACGACTGTAAACTCAACTGCCTGTAAACGACAATGTGTACATGGACACATAGGAAAACATTAGGGAGAGTTCAGCGGCTGCAGGAAAAAAAATGCAGAAAAGCTCCTAAATGTGAGTTTATCAGCTGCAGTGTACATGGAGCCTTAGTTTTTCATTCAGTTTGTCACAGGGCAGCACAGTGGCTAAATGGTTAGCACTTCTGCCTGGCAATGGTTTGAATCCCAACCATGGCACCTGCCCAGGGATGGACTGACAACTCACGGGGCCCCCGGGCAATAGGGGATCATGGGGCCCCTGTGTCCTTGCCCAAACTCAAAAAAGCCTATG